AAAAGAAAGAAAAAAGAAAAAAAAAGAAAAAGAAGCAGCAGCCAAATGGCATCATATCGTTTTAGCAACACTCCTGGCTCATCTGGATGAGGAGGGATTCTCACACTTGTTGGTGGTGGCACGTGAACATCTTGGTACCTTGAGAAGGAGGAATCAGAGATACACACACACACAGAGCAGCCTCCTGTTCTTCAAAAAGGAAGTAAATTTCCTCTTGGCAGTGGAAGACTCGAAGGAAATGGCATGGTGTTTTCCACAATAAATAAAAAAAGCGTATTGATAAGGATCACGTCTTTCTTGCTGCAGTTTCCTGGACAAGAATATATTTGAATATGAACCACAGCAGAGGTCCAGCCCACCCAGAAACCACTGGGCATGAGATGATCCCTCTGTTGGGGATGGAGTCCAGCAGGTCCTGAGCATGTCATGTTGGGTGTGTGCCAGGAAACACACGTCTCACATCTTTTTTTTTTTTTTCTGTTCTGGGGAGATTTCCAGGTGGGAAAAAAAGGAACATACATGAAGTCCTGGTGGGATCGTTGCTGCACCAGGATACCTGCTTCTGCGCTGCGTTGTCGTTAAAAACCTTATATCCCAATGTAAGCAAGGATGCAGGAGAGGCAGGTTGGGGTTCAACATATGGACCTTTAAAAAGAAGCAACGATGATCCATAGAGCAGAGGTCCTGAAAGTCCTAACGCTGAAAGAGAAGCTAATGCTGTCTACAGGGATGTGGAGGTTGCCCTGTCACCCTCGTTTGCTGGGAGCCTGTCCTTGCCGGTTTGAACATAAGGACAACATAACCAACTTTATTAGCTCAAGTTGTTAGAGGCTCTTAAAAGTCTCCTTGGACAGCAGCGACAGCGAGGAGATTCGTTATGAAAATGTGAATCTTGGATCTGCCACACACGCTTTTTCCCAGAGGTGGGATAATACCTAAGCATTCCTACTGCCGGCGCGACTGGCTTGGAGGCAGAACACAAATTGTAATTGTTTCATAATGCTCGGGGACTGCCTTTGGAAGATACAAATGTTTCAACATATTTGCGTGCAAGCTCCATCTCCTCATCGTGAGAGGTTTTGTTTTTTTCTTCTCATTGCAATTAATTGTGGCTAGATGAGACTACCAAAAAAAAAAAAGGATTTTTACCATTTGAGATATATTGGTTAAATGGAAGAATTTGCCAGAATTACCCAGATTAATTAACACCTCGGTGGCCTGCAAAATCCGTGCGAGTTTATCACAAGAAACGCGCTGCATTTCAAAAGCCCATGAGGTACAGGTTGATTGCATGTTTCAAAACTAAGTGAAGCCTCCATGTTGCTGCCTCCAGGTTTTGCAGTCTCAGTGACTGTTCAACAGCTGCAGAAAGGTCAAAACCAGCTGAAAGGTACCCATGCTGTGGGAGGTGGAAGAAGCCAAGAAGCTCTGCGTCACGAGCGTCATGAACTTCAGCTCTGGGCTCCTGCTCCCCTACTCAAGCCATAAAATTATCTTTCTGAATATGATGTACTGAATGACCAGATACATTGTCATGGCATATTACATATTCAGAGCGTTCCTCCTAGTCCTGCCTGGGTGGGAGAGGACAGTCCACGGAGGATAACAGGAATGATCAGGTGTTTTTCATGTGCTGTTCTGTAATCAGGTTTCGAGTAGTCAAATTATTTCTTTCCAGGTGTCTTGTTTGCTATAACTTCAGAGGCATTAGGTATGCAAAAGAGCGACAGAAAACCTTGCAAAGCTTTGCATCTGCATCAACCTTCCTGCTCCAAGGGGCAAACCCTTTCAGAACACCTTTCGCGTCTTGTGGTTTCCCTTTCTTTTCTGCGTCAAGTTCTTCCCATCGTTTCACTTTATCCCCCACTGCCAGGTTAACGTTCCCTTTCATCTGTGTTCACAGAGAATGCAAATAAGCTGGAAGAAAGTGCAAGAGGGATCTACATCCCTTGTCCAGAGCATTACAACGGCTTCTGCATGCATGGCAAGTGTGAGCACTCCACTAACATGCTGGAACCGTCTTGCAGGTAATGCTTCCTCTACCAGTGAGGAAAAGCTACACACATGAAAATATTGACTTAGGAAAACACTGAATCTAGGTAAACTGTGTAAAATAATGGTAAACATGACACATTAGACCCATCAGCCTTAAATTATTTAACAAAGTCCCCATTTTCTGTGGCAAAAGCGCATTGAGTGATGCGCGACGTTAATCGATTGGTGTGGGAGGTGGCTCTAGGGGAGGTTTGGGCAGGGAGGAGAGGTGATACCGAAAGCACTTGTTTCTACAGCAAACACCTCCACGCAGAGGTCGGGATGTCACTTCTGAAGTCCAGCCAGGTAGCAAAGAAAAGGACACATGAAATACCATTTTTCTGGGATGTTGGACTGGGAGAGCAAAGATGCGGAGGGGGTTTATCTCCCAGGACAGACCCTCAAGCCAGCGTCTCACTGCTCCCGCGAACAGTCTGGGCACGTTTTGCTCTTTGCAGTTGCAAAGGTTCTCCGTTCAGCTGGAAAATGTCCTTTCCTTCGTCTGCTTGCCTGCAGGAGAGGAAGAGGGTGGAAGCTCAAGCCTTAACCCATCAGGGTTGGTAGACACTTCTGAGAGGAGCCCAGGAAATCTGGCTCAGTCTCGTATGGTTGCTGCTGCCATTGACGTGGATTTTCACATCTTCTTGCTTGGGCTTTTTAGGGGGAAGGGGGCTAAAATGGGAAAACCCACTGTTTGATCCCCACAACCCACGGCAAGGAGATGCCAGGCTGCAGGATGGGAGGTGGTGAGCAGCTCAGCAGGCAGCCTTGGGGTGGATGGTTGCAGCCTCAACAGAGGGCTTTTTATAGCAACCAGACAAATTGTAAATGATGTATCCACTTGCAGGAACATCTAATCACATTTCTTATGGAGCTTGGATGATTGCTTATCACCTCCTTAGGGGTAATCTGCATAAGGAGCCACAACTAGATGGCTTTTTACCCTCCCCCACCTCCCCAAAGAAAGGGAGAAATCTAAAATACCTCGTGCAAGAAACTAAATGGATTCTCATCACAACGTGCAAGTAATTCCGCTTGATGTTAGATAAGTCCCGGTCCCCTGGGCACCTCCTGGCACTGTTGCAGTGTCATTCACTCTCACAGACCTTGGCGATGCTCAGGACCCGAAGCCTTCCCTCTGAGAGGTTGAGGGGGCACCCGTGCTCTAATCTAGGGGGTCCTGCTCTGCAGAAAAAAAAACACATAAGCTTGTGCTTAGGCCACTGATTTTTTTTTTTCAGATATAATACTATGTTTTTTCTGCATTCTTTGAAAGCAGCAGGTATGACTGGAGCAATTCTTTTCTTGGTTTCAGATGTGATGCCGGCTATACTGGACAACACTGTGAAAAAAAGGACTACAGCGTTTTATATGTGGTTCCAGGTCCAGTACGATTTCAGTATGTCTTAATAGCAGCTGTGATTGGAACCATCCAGATTGCTATCATCTGCGTTGTAGTCCTCTGCATTACAAGGTCAGTATCTCTTCGCAATAGAAAAAGAAAAGACTTGGGGTTTTGCTGCTTTGTGCGCTGATGGCGGGGATTTCTGTGGTGACACTGCTGTTTAATTCCCCAACAAACAGAAGATACCGTCTTGTCCAGCCGGCGCTGCTTCATTATTATGACTGGATTTTCACTTCCATCTTACTCAAACTTAGGTAGCAACGGTGCCTACAGCACATGGAGTTTCCTGTTTTGTATTCAGATGCTTGGACAAGTGTTGTTCATATAAATAAGGGGAATATAAATGCAGCAGCTGGATCAACACTTAATAAAACTAATCATATCTCCATCTGGTTTCCTCAAGGGCCCATTCCCTTAGTCCTAATCAGGCAAAGCACACAAACTTTTAAGCCTGTTTGCAATCCTGTTGATTAAATGATTTCATTAGGCTCGTACACACGTTCAAAGGTACCGCTCGTGTTCGCTAGACCATATATGATTTCTTTATTTTTTTCTTTAATGAGGAGGACACGGCTGTTTGAAGGGAAATGAGAGCTCCGGGGCAGTTCAGAACGAGAAGGGTAAATGCAATTCTTTCCCCAGTGCTGCTCCAGTTCCCCACTGAACTGCGTTACTGTGTCTGGGAGGGCAAGTTCTGAACTTCAGACATCTTCAGGCTTCTCTCAGAAGTCATAAGGTTAAATTAATTCAGCTAGCAAGACTGATAAATCACTCTTCTAGATATATATATTATTTTTTTTAATATAAAAAATAAAAGCCAGGTAGCACACCTCTATAGAAAATAAAATCTCTAATATATTTCAGCCACTATGTTGCACTACCCTTCTGGAAGACAAGTGTAGCATTTTTTCCTGGGAAAAACCAAAGAGGAAAAAAAAAAATCATAAATCCTTCTAAACCAAAACCATCTGATGAAAGGCAGCTGCTTTTTTGGCCAAGCCAAGTCCATCAACTCAGTGGTAAATGCTGAATGAGGCAATGGATTATGGTGATATTCACAGAAGGGATTCAAACAACCCAGAAGCACATAGTAGGAAAAAGAAGGTGGTGGAGTAACTGATAATGGAACAAATGCTCTGTGTCGTTTTGTCACCTTGACGGAGTAACACAGGGTGCTTCGCATGGAGGGGTGAAGACAAGTGTGCTCCATGGGATTTGGTGCTGTCCTAACAAAATTACCCACCACGGTTTTCATACATAGGTGGTACCATTTCCAGCACCCTTTGTAACCAAGTTAATTTATGATCTTTCGACCTTTCTTTTTTTTTTGTTCTGTAATGCGTGTAATTACCGCAGAGCATCCTCCAGCCCAGCAGAATGATTCAAGATACATTTGCAGAAGCGTATTCTTAAGTGGCCTTAGAGAAATCCACGTGACAAAGAGAGCGTTGTGGCAGCAAATGCATAAGTAATTGAGTTTTTGAAGTTTTTGGAGAACCCGACCGTACTAGTTTGAACTCTGTAACCTGAACTCTTGAAAGTGCTAAAAACCACCCTAGCAGCTTCCTGGGAGAAAAAAGGGAAACTTCACTCCCTCAGAGGCCGCTGCAACCAAGTTCTTTGCTGCTCATTTCAGTGCAGCTTCACCTAATTAATTAATCAAATTAGTGTGATGCACTGTGTCCAAACCCTGCATTTTAGCTGCATCTGCAACTCTTGTAAAGCTTTTAGCTCTTAAAGTCACGCCTGCAGTGATGCAAATCTACGGGCTGTCCTCCGTTCCCGGGCACTTTAAGCACGGTTTTTTCGCACAGATGCTTTAATCCAAATACCCGAGGGTCCCGCTCCTTCCCCTGGCTCCTGGGCTCTTGGTCCTGCCGATGTTCTTGTGCCACCATCGGCATTTCTGTAGCCACACCGCAAACCCAGTCGAGGGACGGATTTGGCTGAAAACAGCCCATGGAACTGATGATTTGGGTTTTTAAGTGGCTCGACTCCTTGCTGAGGCTACCAGACGTGAATAAGCAGCTAGGGTGGAAAAGTAGGGGACCAGAGGCTGAGAAGTACGGAGGAGCAGCAAGGCACGGTCCCCACACCCAAGGACTTTTGGCTTAGCTAAATGATATAGGTATGGCGTCGTGTCGTCATGATTCCCAGCAGTTTTCTTTACGGCTTTGCATTTTTAGTGCTTCCCTAACGTTCAGGCACAGCAGCTTATTTATGTGGAGAAATAACTTGATTAAAAATGAATGCTTAATGTGTTTTACCTGCTCTGAATCACATCGCGACTAACTCAGTGGAAGCTTCAATGGAAGGAGGGCAGGCAGCCGGTGCTCGGGTACCGATTTTACATGGATATAACTGCTGTGTTCATAAATGAATGCATCCCACACACAGAGCACTACAAAGAACTTTTGATTAAAGGCCGAAGAAAAGCTGTCACTCAATTTTAGTGGACGATTTAAGTCTAAAAAAAACCAAAAAGCTGATTAAGTGCCCCTCTTAGGAAACCCAGATGCACTTGGGGCACAACCTACCCGTAAAGGCAATAGCATTGCGGTGTCAGCACTTGGCCCTGGGGCCTCCCTGATTCAAACATGGGCATTTTGGTTAAAAATTGCTTTTTCATCATCTTAATAGGAGCAATCTCTACATTTGAATCGATGTCTCTCAACCTGGGACTAAGCGACCGTGTAGGTACTGTGAGCATCAGGTCTGGGAAAGCGCCCATGAGGTGCTCGTCCCCTTGGGTCCAGCTGGAGCAGTTGGCATCCACCATTCTCCAGGAATGCACAGCCACATCCCCTGACAGCCACATCCCCTGGGATTGCTGACCGCTCTGGTCCACCCTCCCCAGCCGCTCAGTACCCCCCTGTTCCTTACAAAACCAGGCTGGCCGTGCCCATCATGGTTCCCCAACCCCACATCCTCTGGGATTCGGAGGAACCGCCGGTAGCTTGGCCATCCATCGCTGCCGGCCGCTGCAGGAGGATTTAGCAGTGCTGTCTCTCTCGAATATCTCCTCCTGCAGAAGCCTGTGAGGTCCGACGGTGTGAGCTCTGGCTGAACGGGCAGGCGAGGCCGCTCGGGGACAGTCAGGGCTCGGAGGCTGTCAGCGTGCAGTTTGGTGAATCAGCCCTTGTGTTTGCTAATAACAGCTCCCTGACTCGCTCACAACATTTTGCTCACTTTTTTTTTTTTATTAGGAAGGCACGGTGAATAATGAGCCGGTCATGAAGTTGCAAACCGGCTAAAGTCTGCATTAGTTTCATAAGGAAAGCTCCGCCGTGACCTCCGAGAGTGCTGAAGAAGTGTGGCTTATTTTTCCTGGAGTAATGATAGCAGCCTACTTTCCTGTTTTCCGAGAAAGAAACAAGGCAAAATATAGCTCACAGCCGTACATTTTCTCATGAGGGGGTGGTCCCGTTGGCTTGAAAGTGAGGCAAGTCAGGACAATCTGACCCATATTTTGTTAGACACTTATATAATTGAATTTCAGCGTTTCGAAATACTTCATGAGTCCATATGCTCTTGTTTAGTCTTTCAGGTGGTGTCACAATACTGTAGCATCCCTCCCATTCAACAGGGTGGGGAGAGGGAAAAAAAAAAACCACCTTTTATGATTTTAAGAGATCAGTAAAAAATTATTTCACTCTATTTGGGATTTAGTTATTTGACACAGAGGTGAAGGCAAGTAGTGTGAGCTCTCACTGCGCTGAGGGGGTGGACTTTCCCTGGTGCATAACCCATAGGGCTGCTGAAAACCTTCCTGAAACAAGTTAGCCCAAGAAAAAAAGGACTATTTTTCCATGTCAGTGTGGTCTGGAATGTCACAGGGCTAACCACCCAGCTGTGGTGCAGTTTCTGCCGTAACCCCTTTGCCTTCCAGCTGCTTAGAACTTCCACTTGGGGGCTCAAGTTCTTCATGCTTTCCACCTAGGGGCGCCTTTCCACAGGAGGAAACCAGAAACACGCGATTATTTTTCCCGTTGGTGGGGGGAGACACTTCGTAGCTGAGGAGCACCGTGAGGTCCTGATGCAGAAGAGACTTGCTTTTGCGGCCCCCCCCCAAAGGGAAATAAGCTTTTGGTCTCTCCGGCGCGATCGCTTTTTGGAGGATCGCTTGACGGAGGACGCCTCTCTCGCGTCCCCGAGCAGACGCCTTGTTGAGAGCCCTGTATTCTCACCCCTCTCTTTTCCAGGAAATGTCCCAGGAGCAACAGAATCCACAGACAGAAGCAGAACACAGGGCACTACAGTTCAGACAACACGACAAGAGCATCGACAAGGTTAATTTAAAGAGCGCATGTTTCCACAATGGCAAAACTAACTGCAGAGAGCTTGGACTACAAAAAATACAGTATTATAGACAAAAGATTAAGACAAGATCTACACATGTTGCCTTGCATTTGTGGTAATCTACACCAATGAGAACATGTACTACAGCTATATTTGATTATGTATGGATATATTTGAAATAGTATACATTGTCTTGATGTTTTTTCTGTAATGTAAATAAACTATTTATATCACACAATATAGTTTTTTCTTTTTCATGTATTTGTTATATATAATAAATACTCAGTGATGAGAAAAAAAATTGCCTTTCTTAAATTTGCTGTATCTCATAGCTGTGTATAGTCTTGGGATGTTGTACGTGGACACTAACAAATCTCTTCTTTTTTTTTCTTTTTCCAGTTCTAGTGGCAATTTTGAGTCTACTGAACTCAGTAGTAGGGTTTTGAGTTGGTCCAAGATCAGCGACAATTATGGATGTGGGAAAGGTGAAGAATAATTTAACCTACATTGAGGAGGGATAAAATATTTCAGATCCGGAGTCAACTACATTTCATCAGCCTTCTTCTCCCATACCATCTATCTTTACTCTCCCATAGCTTAGGAAGTCTTTGCCTCCTAAATTAAATCCTAACCGAAGGGGAAATGGAAATTCTCGGTAACCGCGATGAGAGTGTCAGGGGTAATGTTTCGATTTGGGAGGGAATTAGGTGTCTGTCAAGGTGAACCCTACGAGAACGCTTTGCAGAATGTCCAACTCTGGTCACTGGAGTGAGTGAAAATTGCTTCTTACTGTTGATTGAAAATTATTAGGTTAAAAAAGTTAATAACATAATAACAGCCCAAATGCCAGCACCATTTGTACCTCGTGAACATGCTGATATAATTTATTTTTTCAAAGAGAAGGTGAAAACCACTCAGAAAATACCTTATGAATAACTTTATGGGTGACCCTACTCCATTAAATGCAATGAACTCAAATGTTGGCTATACCTCAGGAAAATAAGGGCATGTGTTTTGTCACATCCACATGATGGACAAGATGCCAAGTTATTTCCATGGTAGCTGTAACTCTCCAAAACACGTTCTTTCAAGAAGCTGAGGTTGCCCTAGTTTGTGCTGTGAATTTTGAAGACAGCAGAGTGAGACTGAAGGGCAGAGTGCGATAACTTCGCCTTAGCTGGATAACATCCACTGCGCTAATTGCCTGCCGGAGTAGTAGGCGCCGTAAGTAACGTAACCGAGCGAAAGAGCCCCTTGTGACGGTGTTCCTTGTGCTGTGCCATCCCAAAGAGACTTTGCCTAGGTGGAGAGTCCCCGTGACAAGAATTAGGAGCATTTCTCACTGTCATCACATAAGGAATGGCATTGGGGTCAGCCGCAGGTCTGGGAGGTTGCCCAGGATGACGTCTCATGAGTCTGTTTCCATCTCCTCCTTCTTCTACTCCACTTTTGGTCTTTCCTCCTCTCCCCACCCCTGGCCTGCTTTGAAATGAATCCATTGCATGATGTTCACATGGTCTCCATTTTTGGGGTCGGTTTTTTTTTCTTTTTTTTGGTCTTGTTCTGGGTTTCTTGGCTTTTTAAAGGTAATAAAAGGCGATTGGCAAGAGATGCTTCCGAGGCACCTGGTCTGTGCTGATTGATGGGGGTGGGAGTGCGGTGCCTTCGCAGCGGGGGGCGGATGATGGCGCGGGGCAGCTCCCCGGCCCCACGGGGACCATCTGCCTCCCGGTGCCCTGGGCTGGGAGGGAGGCAGAGGGGTGAGGAAGGGGGGCTCTACAGCCACTCTCTGCTCCTCAGCTCTCCCCCCCGTCGTGGAGACTTGGTTTAGAGGAGTGACGGTACGGGGCAGCAAGCGCACATGATCCAGGTGGACCTTCCCGCTCTCAAACCCACCGTAGAAATACTCTTCTTTCTCCCAGTCCTTGCTGGTTTTGTCTCCCACACTGGGGTGGTCCGACAAGGAGGGGCCCCAAGGCATTGCTGCAGGTTTGAGGGCAGGAGATCCTTTCTAGGGAGGCTTTAAACTCTGTTAATTAAGCGATACCTAACGAGCATCACAACGCCCCTCTTCTGCTCCCTCTGTTGGCGACAGCAGCGAGCACCTCAGCCGGCGGTGGGGGATGAGGTTGGAGGTGACAAACACAGCTCTATCCCAGCAGCTTTGTGCCTTCTGCGAGAGGTGGTGGAGCCTAACGAGCCTCAAAACCAGCAGATTTTTGAGCCGAATCCAAATGTCAGTCCCCCCGCTGGGACTATCAGATCTGGAGTGTTTATTTCCGTCGCTTGCATGAGATGCAAAACTCAACACAGACACACACTGCCATGTAGCTATAGCAATAAACCTAATTTAAATTTAAAAAAAAAAAAAAGACAAGGCTTGGCCTGGCCTGAAATAGCGTTGCGTGGCTTAGAAGTGAAAACAGAAGTCTGGTGCAAGATCTCTGCGCTCCTGAAAGTTATTTGCTTTGCTTTCACCGTGCAATGCAGCATTTAATCCCTCGACAGCCCGTGTTCGCGAGGTGTCACCAACTGCGTCCCCGGCCGCAGGGTCTGTCACGGAGCCTTCGCACCTCCGAGAACGAGACCAGCTTTTAAGTACCTGCTGCAGCTGGGAGGGCAGGGAGGGGAAAGTGATTTTTTTTTTGTTTTAACGAGCGGAGAGCAAGTCCCCCACCCTAAATGTCAGACTTCTTCGGGCTTTTAATTTAATTTGGCTGCTTCATAGGCTTTTTTCTTCTTTTTTACATGGCATAGCAGCATGTGTAAATAACCTCAAATACCAGCACACACTTGCTTTACAAACCACACGAGAGACGGCCTTGATATACAAAACCCCTGACAAGACCAGTAATACCCCTCTCGACGCGACTGCTTAGGGGCAATCCCGACAACTGGCCTCGCTGTTGTTCTACCAAGGCCAAACCACTTGGTACAAATAGGTAAAAATAAGGCCCTTCCTCAAGGCTTTTCCTCTCAGCCTCTAACATTTTTGGAGCATGAAGCCACATCCTTATTTTTGTAGAATCACAGAATCATAGAATGTCTTGGGCTGGGACATTAAGAGATCACCTAACCCAACCCCCTGCCATGGGCAGGGATGCCCTTACCCAGCCCAGGTTGCTCAAGATCTCGTCCAACCTGGCCTTGAGCATCTCCAGGGAGGGGGCAGTCACAGCTTCTCTGGGCAATCGGTTCCAGAGTCTTGCCACCCTCGCACTGAAGAATTTCTTCCTAAGATCCAGTCTAAACCTCTTCTCTTTCAGTTTAAATCTATTAGCCCTTGTCCTATCTCTGGACACTCTGTAAAAAGTCCCTCCTCAACCTTCCTGTAGTTGGTTTCAGGTACTGGAAGGCTGTAATAAAATCCCCCCACCTAGAGTCTTCTCCAGGCTGAACAATCAGTTTTGGGTGTGATGCATTTAACACAACATCATCCTGCCCTCAGTCCTCGAAATAAAGCCAGGCACGGGCTGGGTTCTGGCGAGCGATGCTCACCAGCCTGGAGATGATGTCCAGGTGATGCTGAGATGATGTTTAACCCCTTGGTAGCTTCAGATGCAGGCAAACCAACCTGCTGTGATGGATCCCAGCCCATAAAGAAGTGGTCTGTTCAGGTATCCCACAGCCTGACCACCTCCGTGGGACAGGCACAGCCTCCCCATCGTGATATGGGGAATGGTTGCAAGTTGCAACAGGGCAAGTTTAGGCTGGACATTAGGAAGAAATTCTTCACAGAAAGAGTGGTCAGACCCTGGAACAGACTGCCTGGGGAGGGGGTTGAGTCGCCATGCCTGGATGTGTTCAATTGTCATTTAGATGTGGTGTTGGGTGATGTGGTTTAGGGGTGTCCTTGCAGTGTAGGGTTAATGGTTGGACTCGATGATCCCAAGGGTCTTTTCCAGCCTGAATTGTTCTAGGATTCTATGATTCTATATTTTTTCCTTAAAGTAACAAACAATAGGACCTGAGGCCCCTCAAGTTGCATCAGGGGAGGTTTAGATTAGACATCAGGAAAATTTTCTTTACTGGAAGGGTTGTCAAGCTCTAGCACAGGCTGCCCAGGGAAGTGGTGGAGTCCCCATCCCTGGAGGGATTTAAAAGAAGAATAGAATCATAAAGGTTGGAAAGGACCTTAAGATCATTAAGTCCAATCGACAGCCCTACACCACATAATACTGAACCGTCTCCTCAAGTGCCACATCCAGATGGTTTTTAAACATGTCCAGGGATGGTGACTCCACCACCTCCCTCGGCAGCCCATTCCAACGCTTCACCACCCTTTCGGTGAAGACGTTTTTCCTCATACCAAATCTAAACTTCTCCTGGCGCAACTTGAACCCGTTCCCTCTTGTCCTGTGGCTATTCACTGGGGAGAAGAGGCCAACACCCGTCTCACTGCAGCTGCCTGTCAGGTGGTTGTAGAGAGCGGTAAGGTCTCCCTCAGCCTTCAGTGAACAATACTGATCTGTACACACTTGGTAAGACTTACCCTCTAGTCCTCTATAATCACTCTGGTTGTGGTGCTCAAGGATGCGGGTTAGTGGTGGGCCTGGCAAGGTAATGGTTGCACTCAGTGATCTCTTTTGGACTTGATCTCTTTCCCAAGCCACACAATGCTGGGGTTCTATGATAAAAGAAAATTTGCCCAGATGCTCCTTATGATGGGGAATGCCCCATGCTGCTAAGCCATGATTTCCAGAACATTACAGTCACCAAAACACCTTGATTAATAAAGGCAGGCTGGACCGCCT